GAAACCCGACATGATTTGACCGAAATCACCCTGGGTCAATGGCCAACCGACATACATGTCCCAACAGTTGGATTTCAAATACTTGGGCTACAAGCAATGTTGACTCATTCAACTCTGGACGAGATTTTCTCTTATTGTCTTCGGTAGGAAAACATATGCTTTTGGTTGAACAATCACTTCAACAACCGTATTCATTTCACCCTGACCCACTTAACAGTGCGGTGGTTCCTATGACTCAACAAAAAGAAAATTAAACCTAAAACGAAGCTAAGTCTTCGTGTTCCATTATTCACTCATGGTCTTCAAAGGCACCATTGGCTTCAATGTCTTCAAACCTTTTGGGGGGTCGTCTTCGACTGATAAACCAAATCTCCAAGTACTTAAATCCCGTGTTATCCTATGAATCTCACAAACACATTAGTCCCTCAACTTTGTTGTCAATACTCCAAAACCAACAAAGGGGTGGCACTAGATGCACTTACACATAGACATCACATGACATGAAATATGACTGCAACGATTCAAGATTCAAATAGCCATTTTCATTGAGTAGTTCAGAGACAAAACAAATCATGTACCATCCTTGGGGTGACACGGGTTTATATGAATCAAGTCTCGGGATACAATTGTCTCTCCACACCCTAATGTTGTGACCGTTGCCAACTCTCCACACTAGTTCCTTCTTCAACAAGTCAAGCCCATGGCTAATGGCCGGCCAAGATGATGAACTATTTCCCAAAATACAGTATCCTCAATCTTATCGTCTGGATAATTGCGAGCCTTTAAAACCTAAGCACACAAGTTGTTCAGTTTATCAATGAGTCTCCAGGCTTGCCTAGCTAACTGCATTTGATTAAACATGCGATAATCCCCAAATCGCACACCTCCTTTGCACTTCGGTTGAAGAAAATATTTCTAGACCTTCCCATGAACCTTTCATCTCCCCTCTTTCGAGCCCCAATAAAAATTCCTCACCAATCTTGTCAAATCACGAACCAAAAATGAAAAGTTGAAGACTCCCGTGATGTAGGTAGGAAGGGCTTCTGCGGCTGATTTGATAAACACCTCCCTACCCAGCTAAGCTAGGTGCCCATCTCCCCATTGGATGAGACTTTTGGTAAGACTTGCTTGGAGGTTTTGGAACTTGCTTTTTGACATGCTACCTTCTCAAGCTGGTAGCCCAAGGTACTTCTCCTCGAAACAAGAGGTCGTGACCTTGAGAACCGACCTAACCTGAGCTTGATTGACTGTCGGACGTAGGGTGCCTTTGTGAGTCAAGGGCACTGTCGGTGTCAAAACCGGCGGATCTCGGGTAGGGGGTCCCGAACTGTGTGTCTAGGCGGATGGTAACAGGAGACAAGGGACACAATGTTTTACCCAGGTTCGGGCCCTCTTGATGGAGGTAAAACCCTATGTCCTGCTTGATTAATATTGATGATGTGTGTTACAAGAGTAGATCTACCACGAGATCAAAGAGGCTAAACCCTAGAAGCTAGCCTATGGTATGATTGTTGTTCGTCCTACGGACTAAAGCCATCCGGTTTATATAGACACCGGAGAGGGCTAGGGTTACACAGAGTCAGTTACAATGGTAGGAGATCTACATATCCGTATCGCCAAGCTTGCCTTCCACGCCAAGGAAAGTCCCATCCAGACACGGGACGAAGTCTTCAATCTTGTATCTTCATAGTCTTGGAGTCCGGCCGATGATGATAGTTCGGCTATCCGGACACCCCCTAGTCCAGGACTCCCTCAGGCACTTTTAGTACTCACTGGTTGTTCATGAGAGTCCTCAAAAACAACATTGTGTCGTTAGCAAATAAGAGTTGCAAAATCCCTAGAGCTCTCCAACAAATTTTAAGAGACATGAGATTATTTAGATGCACACCATGCTTAAGAATGGCAGAAAAACCATCAACTAGTAGCAAGAACAGAAAGTGAGAAAGTGGGTCAGCTTGCCAAAGCCCACGTGACGGTGCAAATGATCCAAGAGGGTCCCATTGAATTTAATAGAATATTTCACCGATGCGATACGAATCATGATCCAGTCAATCCAACGGCGAGAGAACCCCAAATTTTGCTTCGTTTGCTTCAAGAAGCCCCAATCCCCCTTATCATAACCTTTCAACAATTCATGCTTATAAGCACAAAAACTCCTAGTAAGGTCTTTATCTTGATTGATATGGTGTATCCACCAGTGTTTTGGTTATCGAATGGGGCATTTTTACTGAGGAGACTCGTAAATGTGGTTGCCATGGTTACCACGAAGTTTTGTGCAAATTTTAAATGAAATTTATAATTAATTTTGAATTCAAATTCTTTCAAAATAGAGATAGATAGCACTTGAACTTAACTTTATCATAAAAGAGCTTCTAGCTGAGTGGAAATAACAGAGATCTTGCCATACTTAACTATACATTGCGCGTTTGAATTCAAAAATTCAAAACAATGATTTTTTTCCTCGAGCCAATTTACCGTGGTAAATCTCAAAATTTCGAGCGGTAACCATAACTCTGGTATGCACTCAAAGACTATTAATACATTATCAGTAATCAATCTCCTAGGGGCGAAGGCACTCTGTTCTGGAGATAAAAAGAACTTCAAGCATAGGTCTCCTCCTATTAACCAATCACTTGGAGATGACTTTGTAGATCACTGCACAAACTTCTTTTGTTTTGTACATATTATGTTGTCTGTTCACCATGTAACATATTTTCCGTGTTCTCAGAGAGCTAAGCTAGTTAATCCTAGCACTAGCAGGAGATATAAGATACAATGGAATTGGCAAACAAGTTCGAACATACAAGTGCAACGACAAGGGAGTTTACATTTGAGTTCTTGGAACAAATTACAGACAATTTTTCTGATGAGCACGTCATTGGTCGTGGTGGGTATGGAGTAGTTTACAAGGTATACTCATATGCTCATTACTTAGATCTTGTAATTTCAAATCATACTACTGTACATATCAGTAAGGACTCGTGTATTTTTGTAACAGGGGGTACTAGAAAATGGGGAAGAGATTGCTCTCAAAAAGCTCCATTACATGCCGGGGCTTGGTGACACGCAATTTAGGAATGAATTTAATAACCTTATGAGGGCCCAACATCCAAATATTACCCGGTTGGTTGGCTATTGCTATCATCTAGGACATCAACGCATTAAGTACAAAGGTGAATATATTTTTGCCCATGTGGAAGAAAGAGTTCTCTGCTTCGAATACTTGCAAGGTGGAAGCCTTGACAAGCATATTTCTGGTATGATGCTACTCCACTTAGTATATGTTATTTTGCATGTAAAGAAAAATGATACATGAAATATATGTACCTCTTAGATGTCCCTTAATCTACATCTTGGTAATACACTTCATGTTTACTTCTACAGATGAATCATGTGGACTCGATTGGCAGACACGTTTCAAAATTATTAAGGGAGTTTGTCTGGGTTTGAATTACCTTCATAATGGATCCAAAGATCCGATTTACCATCTTGACTTGAAACCTGCTAATATATTGCTGGACAAGAACATGGTCCCGAAAATTGGAGATTTTGGTTTGTCAAGACTCTTCCCTTCAGCACAAACCTATATCACTATCAACATTATAGGAACACCGTAAGTGGATACCTCATGATAAATAATCAACTTCTGTGTTTCTAATTATAGAAGTAATTGTACTTCATATATTCCATGCAGTGGATACATGCCACCAGAATACATTGATAGAAACGAAATCACATCAAAGTATGATGTATTCAGCCTGGGTGTTATAATCTTACGGATAATGGCAGGAGATGAGGGCTACTCCAAATGCGCACATATGTCTTCGCAAGAATTTCTTGAGCATGTATGGAAGATATCTTGTATCATGAACAAAAATTCTTTTTCACAAATATTATAATCATATTGTGCCTTACTTTCCATGCCACCTTTGCCTTTGTGTTCCAACTTTGCAGATACATGAAAACTGGAGAAAACAGTTTCAGGGAACAATGTTGTCACATACATCAGATCAAGTTAAGACATGCATCGAAATAGCATTAAGGTGTGTGCAGGTTGACCGTGAGAAAAGGCCTACCATAGCCAAGATTGTCGATGAACTAAACAAGGTTGGTACAGTTCACCTGTAGGGCAGGCATATATAGGCCAGGATTTACATGGCATAACCAAACGCCATCCTCTGCATATTCATCCTCTAATTAACCTCTAACTTCCTACTCATCATAAATGCCAACTCTTTTAATTTCATTATTTTGTTCTGCTTTACCTACTCCTTAAAGTTCAGCCGCTATACCTAGTCTTTTTCTAGAGACCACTAAGCCAATAAATAGCCAAAAGTTTGATAATTACTCCATCAGCTTGTAAACAGATGGGTGGCATAAGAGAATGAGTTTGTAGGTCCCGGGTGTCTGGCCACCTGTCTATCATCACCGTGCATGCAAAACAGGAGTCTCGGGGATCCGTGCGTGCACTGCAATGGTGTTTGAATTAGCAGGCCTGTTTCAAAGAGTAACACTAGGCTAAAAGCATTGCAGCTGCCTACAGTTCTTAGGCTGTATAGCCTCCATGGACTGATTTGACCTCACAACTTCACCCTCGAACCTTACTCCAGGTAAATTAGATTCCAGTGCATGCTACTTCCGCATTCACACACTGTGTGAGGGCATGACTAGTCACATCCGAGAAGTCTGCCCATGTTTCTGTGCTCAAAGTTTTACAGCATTGATGCATTGCCAGCTTACAAAAAATGTTGTTGTACCTATGAGCTGCGCGGGGCGCTGCTGGCGTGTCGTCAAACTTACACTCTCTCTCTCTATCTATCTACAAATAATAATAATAATAATAATAATAGTAATAATAAAAAGGCTATTGCTTTCGTCGAGTTCACCGTCGTGGACTTTTTGTGAAAAAGTTCCCAACTTTTCTTAGAGTCAACCCGCACTGTAAAAATTGTCCGTTTTCATCGGTCCATCTCGCTCGCCAGTTTCGTGTGTCCGGTGTCCGGCTTCCTTCGTCGTTATGGGCCAGAATTTGAATTTCGGTTATGGGCTGGTAAAAAGGTTGCTCTTTATGCATGTAATTAATAGTCCCACCTTGCTCCTTTAAATCAAACCCTACCATCTTATATACGTTCGTTTGCAAGAATCAAACGGCCATGACAAAAAAAGACTAGATATGCACCCAACTCGGAAGTAGAGAGACACAAAGAACTAGCGAGGAAGGGAGCAAAAAGAAACTCAGAGTTGATAGAAAGAAGAGAGAGAGAGAGACAAGGTAGCCAACAGCCTGATGAAGCATCCACGACCCAACTGCTCCGGCAACGGGGTGGATGGATCGAGGCGGAGGCCACCGATGGGGAGGTAGGTGGCGGCAATCTCGAACTAGCGCCGCAGAGAATTCTATTGTTAATTGATCCATTATTTTGTCATCGTCAAACTTCTCCTCTAGGTGGCCAACCTAATTCGTAACAATTGACATTTGTTTCGCAGTGAAGCACGTCAACTTTTTTTCTCCCGTTACAACGCACGGACATATTTGCTAGTACAACCGATGTTGGGTAATACAAACTTGTCCTATCTAGCTTAGGACGGTTAGAATAGTATAGCTGTATGGGTTGATTGATTTAGGAAAGCGTCCGTGTACAAGTTAGCTAGCTATAGTAGTACATGTACATGTCTTAGTAGGTTTCTTAAAACTTGTCAAGGTTGAGTCGGTTTGAATCATGGCTGGTACGTGTATATATGTACAACCTAGGGGGTACGTTGTGATCACCAGAAAAGCAATAAAGAAAATTACGAGACATGACACGGGCCTTTGGCCAACTTCGTGTTGTTGCGTTCGCGTGTGTATGTTCTGGTCTCGGTGTTTGCGTGAGCGCCAGTGAGCTATCGAGTGCTACAACTAGTCGTATATGTCAAGACGAGTTGCGCGTACACGACCCGTCGAGATGCAGCGTAGTCGTGTGTTCGATCCTAGGAAAAAGCCAACATTTGGTATCAGAGCAAGGTGTGAAGGCTTCGCCGTCAAGTTGCGTCACGACGGAGTTAAAGGATTCTTCGTCGCCGTGAAGTTGTGTCATGGACGGTGGAAAATCGAAGAGGATCTTGTCGACTTCGAAGGCGAGTGGTGGTGGTGTGACCATCCAGTACCCCATGCTTGAAGGCGACAATTTCGGGGTGTGGGCTGCGAAGATGAAGATCTTCATGCGTGCATGTGGAGTCTGGGCAGCGGTGGAAGGTGATGGTGTGGTCGAAGAGATAAAGGACCAAGAGGATTTCACCGCTATAGCCCAAGTTGTGCCTGATGCTGTTTTCATGACCATATGGGAGAAAGTGACGGCAAAGGAAGCTTGGGATGCTCTCAAGGAGATGCATGCTGGAGATGAACGTGTCAAGAAGGCTCGTGTTCAAGCTCTAAGGAGGGAGTTCGAGAAGATGAGCATGAAAGAATCAGAAGGGGTTTGTGAATTTGCGTTGAAGCTAACTTCCCTGGTTAATGAGATGCGAGCTCTCAGATCAAAGATGGAGGACATTGTGGTTGTGGAGAAATTACTACGAGTCGTTCCCAACAAGTTTTTACCGATCGTTGGCACCATAGAGCAGTGGAGCGATGTGACGAAGATGTTGGTGATGGAGGTGATCGGGCGGCTGAAGACCTATGAGTTGACGTTGAAGGGTTGTGAACGCAATCAAGAACAAGAGCAGTTGATGTTCTCGCGTAGAAGTACCAAAAGTTCGACAAATCTAAAATCCGTTGCTACAATTATCAGGACTATGGACACTATTCTCGAGAGTGTCCTAATCCAAGGAAGGAGGCAAAGAAGGAGCATGGGACTCTACAACTAGCTGAGGTGGGCATGGATGACGACCCAAGGTTGCTTTGATGAAGCGGTGGCAGTTAAGAAAAAAATAGTCGTGTCTTTAATTTTGTTTGTGTCTGAGTTGTCAGTGTGTCTCGGCGAGAAGACGAAGGCCAGCATAAAGATGGATGCACACCAGTTAAGTTGAGTTCCTACATGAGAGGCTATGTGTTTATTCAGCATGTAGCACGCTAAGATGTGACGGTGTGGACTGATAATCCAGGCGATGTGTTGGTTCTGAGTCTACGAGTCGAAAGTTTGTATTAGGGAGTGAATGTTGGGTAATACAAACTTGTCCTATCTAGCTGAGTCTGGTTAGGATATATAGCTGTATCGGTTGATTGATTTAAGAAAGCGTCCGTGTACAAGTTAGCTAGCTATAGTGGTACATGTACGTGTCTCAGTAGGTATCGTAAAATTTGTCAAGGTTGAGTCGGTTTCAGTCATGGCTGGTACGTGTATATGGGTACAGCCTAGGGCGTACGTTGTGATCACGAGAAAACGAGAAAAGCAATAAAGAAAATTATGAGGCACGACACGTGCCTTTGGCCAACTTCGTGTTGCTGCGTTCGCGTCTGTGTTCTGGTCCCGGTGTTTGCGTGAGCGCCGGTGAGCTATCGAGTACTACAGCTAGTTCGTATACGTCGAGACGAGTTGCGCGTACACGATCCGTCAAGCTGCAGCGTGATCGTGTGTTCGATCCTTGGGGAAAGCCAACAACTGAGTAAGCACCCGTGTCCATTCTCCATTTTAGGCATCATTCAGTTTGAAGGATTTTCGTAGGAAAAACATAGGTAGAAGGATTTCAGGGGAAAATTTCCTATATATGCATTCGGTTTGTAGGAAGTGCATACATGAATTTTGTAGGAATACTATTTATTTCCTGTGTTTTTGAAGAAAACTACACATCCACTCAAACCTCATTTTGCGTGTAGGAACGAGGATGGCAAGTGTCATCCTATCAAATTCCTATACTATTCCTAATTCCTACGTTGATATCCTTTAAACCGAATGAGGCCTTATTTTTTGTTGGGTTCACTCTCGCATTAAGGAACTCGAACAAACCGTCTATGAAGAACATGTTTTTGCCATGCGTTACACAAGACAGTCAAAAAAGGTGACCGTCATGTCATATCTGACGAAGAGAGGCTAGTAAAAACTGGTACTAGTATCTATACTTCCTCCATTTCATAATGTAGTGCATCCGCGTTTACCGAGATATAAGTTTGATCATAGATTTAGTCAAGAAGACCGACTGCGACGGAAGCAAATATTATACCACTGAATTCTGGTATTGCCTATCTCTTATCAGACCTCGGCACAAATCTTGACGGCACTGAACGGGCTTGGTAAGAGGGTGCTGGGAGTCCCGGGTGCTATCACACCTTTTCGGGTGGGGGTGGCATAAACATGAAAAACAACTTTTTGAACGATGGATTACTATATAATCGTCAATATGTGTATTTGAAAAAGGCCCACTTTATAGTAGAGAAATGTTAAAATCATTGCAATACCTCGTGGACATCTAGGAATTTTAAAATAGGGCACCGGTTGTTTCATGCATGTTCCGACCAACCACGAATCAAAGGAACGTGGTTCAAGTATGTCCAAAAAATGAAATGTTGCTTAGTAGAACTAATAAGGTTTCTAAAGAGTAAAATCCATTTTGTACACAACTGACAAGAGGCCTCTATAAAGAAGAATTGAACTTCTCATTGCAGGTCGGACAAGAGGTCTCCAATTTCGGAAGCAAGCCTGCCCTAAACCAAAACACAGTGTCAGGTAAACATCTTGATTAATAAACCTATAATATAATTCATACAAAAGGAACAGTTTTAGTGCGGTATGATGTGGCTGAATGTGGAATGGTTTGGATAATGATGTGGCTGAACATGGAAGCAAGTAAAAATAGCCAGTGAGGAACAATTCTTTAATATGTTAAGGTTAATTAATATGGTGTAATTAGAGATTTAAATGTTAAACTAAACATAGTATTTCCTCCGCCTTAAAATAAGTGTCTCAAACTTAGTACAACTTTGTACTAGAGTTAATACAAAGTTGGGGCGCTTATTTTGGGACGAAGAGAGTACAAGTTTTAGAGTTTTTTCCTTTGAAAAAGACAAAATGTGTAAGATGGGTCTGCGGTGCTTTTTACATACCAGGCAGATAGCGAAATTAATGTCCATTACATCCATAAAGACTATCATCAAATTAGACACAGGATCCTCCACATTTTTCCCTTCTTATACCTATATATGAGTTTGGAGTTTG